TCCGAGTTGCCACACCAAAACACGTACTGGTGTGAACATCCGAGTTGCCACACCAAAACAAGCACTTGTGTGAACATCCAAGTTGCCACACCAAAACAAGTAATGGTGTGAACATCCGAGTAGCCACACCAAAACAAGTAATGGTGTAAACATCCGAGTTGCCACACCAAAACAAGCACTGGTGTGAACATCCGAGTTGCCACACCAAAACAAGTAATGGTGTGAACATCCGAGTTGCCACACCAAAACAAGTAATGGTGTGAAGATCCGAGTTGCCACAGCAAAACAAGTAATGGTGTGAACATCCGATTTGCCACACCAAAACAAGTAATGGTGTGAACATCCGAGTTGCCACACCAAAACAAGTAATGGTGTGAACATCCGAGTTGCCACACCAAAACAAGTAATGGTGTGAACATCCGAGTTGCCACACCAAAACACGTACTGGTGTGAACATCCGAGTTGCCACACCAAAACAAGCACTGGTGTGAACATCCGAGTTGCCACACCAAAACAAGTAATGGTGTGAACATCCGAGTTGCCACACCAAAACAAGTAATGGTGTGAACATCCGAGTTGCCACACCAAAACAAGCACTGGTGTGAACATCCGAGTTGCCACACCAAAACAAGTAATGGTGAGAACATCCGAGTTGCCACACCAAAACAAGTAATGGTGTGAACATCCGAGTTACCACACCAAAACACGTACTGGTGTGAACATCCGTGTTGCCACACCAAAACACGTACTGGTGTGAACATCCGAGTTGCCACACCAAAACAAGTAATGGTGTGAAGATCCGAGTTGCCACACCAAAACAAGTAATGGTGTGAACATCCGAGTTGCCACACCAAAACACGTACTGGTGTGAACATCCGAGTTGCCACACCAAAACAAGCACTGGTGTGAACATCCGAGTTGCCACACCAAAACAAGTAATGGTGTGAAGATCCGAGTTGCCACACCAAAACAAGTAATGGTGTGAACATCCGAGTTGCCACACCAAAACAAGCACTGGTGTGAACATCCGAGTTGCCACACCAAAACAAGTAATGGTGTGAACATCCGAGTTGCCACACCAAAACACGTACTGGTGTGAACATCCGAGTTGCCACACCAAAACAAGTAATGGTGTGAACATCCGAGTTGCCACACCAAAACAAGTAATGGTGTGAACATCCGAGTTGCCACACCAAAACAAGCACTGGTGTGAACATCCGAGTTGCCACACCAAAACAAGTAATGGTGTGAACATCCGAGTTGCCACACCAAAACAAGTAATGGTGTGAACATCCGAGTTGCCACACCAAAACAAGTAATGGTGTGAACATCCGAGTTGCCACACCAAAACAAGTAATGGTGTGAACATCCGAGTTGCCACACCAAAACAAGTAATGGTGTGAACATCCGAGTTGCCACACCAAAACAAGTAATGGTGTGAACATCCGAGTTGCCACACCAAAACAAGTAATGGTGTGAACATCCGAGTTGCCACACCAAAACAAGCACTTGTGTAAACATCCGAGTTGCCTCATCAAACTAAGCACTGGTGTGAACATCCGTGTTGCCACACCAAACACGCACTGGTGTGAACATCCGAGTTGCCACACCAAAACTAGTACTGGTGTGCACATCCGAGTTGCCACATCAAAACAAGCACTGGTGTGAACATCCGAGTTGCCACACCAAAACAAGCTCTGTTGTGAACATCCGAGTTGCCACACCAAATCAAGTAATGGTGTGAACATCCGAGTTGCCACACCAAAACAAGCACTGGTGTGAACATCCGAGTTGCCACATCAAAACAAGCACTGGTGTGAACATCCGAGTTGCCACACCAAAACAAGCACTGGTGTGAACATCCGAGTTGCCACACCAAAACAAGCACTGGTGTGAACATCCGAGTTGCCACATCAAACCAAGCACTGGTGTGAAGATCCGTTTTGCAACACCAAAACAAGCACTGGTGTGAACATCCGTGTTGCCACACCAAAACAAGCACTGGTGTGAACATCCGAGTTGCCACACCAAAACAAGCACTGGTGTGAACATCCCAGTTGCCACACCAAACCAAGCACTGGTGTGAACATCCCAGTTGCCACACCAAAACAAGCACTGGTGTGAACATCCCAGTTGCCACACCAAAACAAGTAAATGGTGTGAACATCCGAGTTGCCACACCAAAACACGTACTGGTGTGAACATCCGAGTTGCCACACCAAAACAAGTAATGGCGTGAAAATCCGAGTTGCCACACCAAAACACGTACTGGTGTGAACATCCGAGTTGCCACACCAAAACAAGCACTGGTGTGAACATCCGAGTTGCCACACCAAACAAAGCACTGGTGTGAACATCCAAGTTGCCACACCAAAACAAGCACTGGTGTGAACATCCGAGTTGCCACACCAAAACAAGTAATGGTGTGAACATCCGAGTTGCCACACCAAAACACGTACTGGTGTGAACATCCGAGTTGCCACACCAAAACAAGCACTGGTGTGAACATCCGAGTTGCCACACCAAAACAAGTAATGGTGTGAACATCCGAGTTGCCACACCAAAACAAGTAATGGTGTGAACATCCGAGTTGCCACACCAAAACAAGCACTGGTGTGAACATCCGAGTTGCCACACCAAAACAAGTAATGGTGTGAACATCCGAGTTGCCACACCAAAACAAGTAATGGTGTGAACATCCGAGTTACCACACCAAAACACGTACTGGTGTGAACATCCGTGTTGCCACACCAAAACACGTACTGGTGTGAACATCCGAGTTGCCACACCAAAACAAGTAATGGTGTGAACATCCGAGTTGCCACACCAAAACAAGTAATGGTGTGAACATCCGAGTTGCCACACCAAAACACGTACTGGTGTGAACATCCGAGTTGCCACACCAAAACAAGCACTGGTGTGAAGATCCGAGTTGCCACACCAAAACAAGTAATGGTGTGAAGATCCGAGTTGCCACACCAAAACAAGTAATGGTGTGAACATCCGAGTTGCCACACCAAAACAAGCACTGGTGTGAACATCCGAGTTGCCACACCAAAACAAGTAATGGTGTGAACATCCGAGTTGCCACACCAAAACAAGTAATGGTGTGAAGATCCGAGTTGCCACACCAAAACAAGTAATGGTGTGAACATCCGAGTTGCCACACCAAAACAAGTAATGGTGTGAACATCCGAGTTGCCACACCAAAACAAGCACTGGTGTGAACATCCGAGTTGCCACACCAAAACAAGTAATGGTGTGAACATCCGAGTTGCCACACCAAAACACGTACTGGTGTGAACATCCGAGTTGCCACACCAAAACAAGCACTGGTGTGAACATCCGAGTTGCCACACCAAAACAAGTAATGGTGTGAACATCCGAGTTGCCACACCAAAACAAGTAATGGTGCGAACATCCGAGTTGCCACACCAAAACAAGCACTGGTGTGAACATCCGAGTTGCCACACCAAAACAAGTAATGGTGTGAACATCCGAGTTGCCACACCAAAACAAGTAATGGTGTGAACATCCGAGTTACCACACCAAAACACGTACTGGTGTGAACATCCGTGTTGCCACACCAAAACACGTACTGGTGTGAACATCCGAGTTGCCACACCAAAACAAGTAATGGTGTGAACATCCGAGTTGCCACACCAAAACAAGTAATGGTGTGAACATCCGAGTTGCCACACCAAAACACGTACTGGTGTGAACATCCGAGTTGCCACACCAAAACAAGCACTGGTGTGAACATCCGAGTTGCCACACCAAAACAAGTAATGGTGTGAACATCCGAGTTGCCACACCAAAACAAGTAATGGTGTGAACATCCGAGTTGCCACACCAAAACAAGCACTGGTGTGAACATCCGAGTTGCCACACCAAAACAAGTAATGGTGTGAACATCCGAGTTGCCACACCAAAACAAGTAATGGTGTGAACATCCGAGTTGCCACACCAAAACACGTACTGGTGTGAACATCCGAGTTGCCACACCAAAACAAGTAATGGTGTGAACATCCGAGTTGCCACACCAAAACACGTACTGGTGTGAACATCCGAGTTGCCACACCAAAACAAGCACTGGTGTGAACATCCGAGTTGCCACACCAAAACAAGTAATGGTGTGAACATCCGAGTTGCCACACCAAAACAAGTAATGGTGTGAACATCCGAGTTGCCACACCAAAACAAGCACTGGTGTGAACATCCGAGTTGCCACACCAAAACAAGTAATGGTGTGAACATCTGAGTTGCCACACCAAAACAAGTAATGGTGTGAACATCCGAGTTACCACACCAAAACACGTACTGGTGTGAACATCCGTGTTGCCACACCAAAACAAGTAATGGTGTGAACATCCGAGTTGCCACACCAAAACACGTACTGGTGTGAACATCCGTGTTGCCACACCAAAACAAGTAATGGTGTGAACATCCGAGTTGCCACACCAAAACAAGTAATGGTGTGAACATCCGTGTTGCCACACCAAAACAAGTAATGGTGTGAACATCCGTGTTGCCACACCAAAACAAGCACATGGTCAGATCCCCGTTGACCCAGTCGTCTAAGCCGCCGCGATTCGCTGTGCAGAAACCCATGGTTCCGGTTCGCCCCGATCCTGTATCTAGGTTTGTTAGCACCATACCAATGCTCGTGGGTTTCACCGAAGTGGTAAATATCTGAGCTTTCCTCCCACATCAGTCTCTACTTCCAGTAAAAGGCCTAAATAACACGCATCTTTCCCGACACACCAACCCCTTCCCCCTCCCCCCCCCCGCCACACATAAACAAATCAGACCTGAACATTCACTCTTTCAATTTTTCAAGGTCAAATTACATGTATGTCGCGTTGTCACCCCATCAAATATGTGTAAAAAAGGCGTTAAAATGCCCGACAATTGGTTAATTTCGACACTTTTTGCGTTTTTGGGAAGGGCGAGTATGCGACAACGCGACAATGTCCATTCTTAGTATTCCACAGGGGAACTATTTTCTGCGGATCGCAACAAGTGACATTCCATGATCACGCCAGCACGACTTGAAGCAAGTCAACATGCAAGTCGGCCTTTGTAACTTGTGTATGTGGATATTGTCTGACCTAGATTCGAATATTTGCAGTAGTCGTCAAAGAGTTTGAATATTGCTGAGTGCGGATGGTTAATCAAGTCTTCAATCAAGTAACAGCGCACTCTACATTCCCATCGAGGTAAGGAAGCTGGGCAAATAACTACAACACAAACCAATTTCCAGGATCAAATGTTCGGGTGGGTGTAGGGCGAGCTTCTAGTTACTACTTTTGACACGATGGTGTCAGAGTGACCTTTGAATGTACTTTTTATATTGCCAAAACCACGAAACCTCTGCAAATTAGAATTGAGGATAGCCAGAGAGCTGTCATCAGTTTACTGCTTTAAATGTGTTAACAGAACTTTTGTTAACTTGCTGAACTGTCTACCCCTAAAACAGGGCCAACAATTACTTTAATAATGTATCAGTCTTTCTCATCTGATATTGAATAAATATTCAGTTTGATAGACACATCGTATTGACGTACAAATGCGTTTATTTGCGTGGTGTCAGTGTGGATGTTTGAGCGTGGATGTTTGAGCGTGCAAGTGTGTGTATAATACTTGACCTGTGATGCTCAGTCACGCATGGCCACACCTCACACAAGCCAGCTTCAGTTATTCTATATGTAGTCGTATAGAGGCATTTAGAAGTTGAAAGAACTTGCATACATGTGGGATTTACTGCGCAAAACGCATGTGTGACGCTTTCAACCAAGTCACTAAACCTGCCAGCCGATCCATGTGTCGCCTGTTGCCACCATAGTCTAACCTATTCAAACCTATTAGAGCTGATCCACACGGAGTTCACAACGTAGCAAAACTTGCTGTATGTCATCGTGACCTCCGACTAAACACTGGTGACTCAGCGCTTGGTTTGTTTTGTGTCATCGCGACCCGACTATTACTTGCTGTGTTGTCATGTTCAAGGTGAAATGTTCATGGGGTTTTATCGGAAAATAAAACTGAACATTATGTAAGCTTTAAAGGGAAAACGCTTGCCATAAACATTACATTATTGCAATGTGAGTTTCTTATTTTAAATTCATTAAAAAATAAAAAATATCTGGTTTGGTAGCTGTGGCTGCAAAAAATATGTAACCTCGATACAATTATGTATGTACAATTAATACATTTGGTAGTCACAGTCAGGACACATAATGCATTCGTTCAGTCCATGTGCCTAAGGTACTTTAAGATGTTAATTAACGGTAATTAGAACGGTTTGCGAGATCAGCTTCTGGTTCGAAAGGTAGTAACAACAAGACGAGAGCGGGCGCGCACTAGACTCACAAACTTGAGGCCCGCTCTCATTCTTATTTACCATTGGTCGGTTACCTTTCCCCTTGAAATAAACTATTCCACCCCTCTAGTCGTTCTTTCCAAATTTACATCTCTTGGAGGTATGTATTTTGCAAACTATTTGACACAATGATCTATTCAATTTTGGACTACGGGTCATCTATATGGGGTACGGAAAACCTATTCTACCCCGGATCTTCACGGGTTCAACGTCGAATGCGAAAAATATGTCAAAGTCCATTTGTAACGCAAGCAGTGGAGCGTGCTTGCTAAATTTAGATGTTGTGTAGCCCCAATAAGAATAGACTGGACGCTATGAGAATATTCCAGCAGATCACATAAAGTGTTTTAATTGTGTTAATTGTGTAGAAGATGAGGCTCATTTGTTGTTAAGCTGTCCTTGATTTGCTGTTTCAAGGTTAAGATTTTTGACGGAAATATGGCCCGGTTTTAATGTGTTTTAACAACTTGCCCTACTTTTATCAAATGATGGCACGATTTCTTCTGTAGCCAAAATCTGTTTCAATATCTCAGAGCAGTGTTTTTACCATCTCTCATAAATCGCGCGGCGATTAGTCGCAATTTAGTTTTACTGTATATAATAGGTATGTTCTTTGTAATTGTAATTGTAAAATATTTACCATGTACAACATACGCATCTCAAGGGTTATGCCTACCGCAGCTGACAAGCGAGCAGGTTTATTAACAATCACAAATAAATACACTCATCAAACTTTCATCGTCTTTCAAGTCGAATCCACGAATCTGTCAACACCGCCTCCGTTTTCAGCTACCTGAAATATACAATTCCCAACTAAAATTGTGACCAAAGCAAACATGTTGTAACAAGTTTTGCAGTTGTTATTCAGAAATGTTCCCACATCACACCAAACACATCGTATCACTCAAATACAAGGATCTGCCCTACGGCTAAATTTTGCCCAACGGCTCAACTTTGCCCAACCGCTCAACTTTGCCCAACGGCTAAACACTCCAATACTTTGTAACCTCAAATTCTTGAGCCAATATTTTGCAAGATGTAAAATCTGCTCGCCTGTGTAATGCGAAGACCTCGAATGGTTCAACACAGTCAGTGAACACTACACGTCACCTTCCTCACGCGACTTTATGACACCACATTCACGTGCAATGTTCCTGGCTGCGGCAGGCAAACTCTTACCGTATTTAACGCATAATAAATTAATTCTCTCTGTCTGCCACAAAGTTGTCGCTCTCGCTCTGCCGTCTCCCTCTGTATTTAAGGTGTAATAGAGCCTAATAATAGAACGACATTATATAAATTTCATTCTCTTTTGCGCAGCATGTCTATTGTCGAGGACTACGACATGGGAGGTAACGCCATCAGCTTCCTGGAGGTCGATGGTTTTCGGTATCCTATCGTTGACTCAGAAATAGTCAAGGGCATGTCGCAGCTGAAGGCCAAGGATGACGATATCTTACTACTGGCGTATCCAAAATCAGGTAGCTTCACTGGCATCTGCGTAGCATAGCCCCTCATCCGTTCATCGTCTGATAAAAGTTTATCTACATAACGCTACTGGGGGCTAGAATTTGTCCCGTTAGAAACGTCTGACAATGTGCGCTGTTGGATTTACAACGCACTTCTACACCTCCATTTGATAAGTGATGTATTTTCTAAAACAAGACCTTGTGACGTCCATCCCCTGTGGCTACACCTTTAGTCAACGACCCAGGCAAGCCTTACATGAACGTATCTAGCGGCCAGGGTGCATATGACCTCCTCCTCATGCTGTTGAAGTACATGATAACCAAGGGATCATGTCAACATCAGCGTGTCTTGCAGTTGTTGGAACCCCCTGAAGACCCCTTTAATGCCTCCTTTGACCCACTGCAACAACGTACAGGTTATACACTAAAGGGTTACCCGTCCATGTGAGCTTTCAAATACTACCATTCAAGCCATTTTCATCGCTATCATAATCGTCTCAAAGGAATCGTCTAACACAGGCTACCTACTTTAGATTTGTTGTTCTGTAATCCAGTTCGCCACTCCATCTCTCTGCCCAAAATACATCATCCTTCAATGTCATGGCAGAAATAATATCAATTGTAGACTTTTAATGAAACTACATACTTGACCAGCTGCTAGAGGTCTTTCTACCCAAAAAATATTCTATATGTTGGTCTCATGGCGTCTTTTTTATGGGGGGTGGGGTGCAGATGGGATTTCATACTTGATGACGATTTAGCTTTGATTGATAACACCAGTCTACATCCGTCAAGGGAATATTGTCCCACTGAGCGAGTTATTGCCATGTTATACGGTACTACCAAATACCAGTACAATACTCGAATTAGATGCCTGATGTCCCCAGGTACACATTGGACCTGGGAGATCACGTCCATGCTGCTCCAGGGTAAGGCGGAGACCATCCCTCATTGGAAGAGCAAAGTCATGGTGGAGCTGCAGCCACAGGAAGTCATAGATGCCTTCCCAGCATCCCCTCGTGTCCTCAACACGCATGTCCGGTACAACCAACTTCCGTTACAAGCCAGGGAGAAGAAGTGTCGGATGATCTATGTCCTTAGAAATCCTAAGGATGTTGCCGTGTCCTTCTATAACCATCATAAATCTTTCGAGAATCTGTACAAGAATTACAATGGATCGTTAAACGATTATCTCCCTTTCTTTCTGTCTGGGAAAAGTAAGACATTTGTCATTTTTTTCTTTCTTTCTTTCTTTGTTATTTAACGCCGCACTCCAATAATATGCAGCTATGTGAGGACGGCCTGTAAATAATCGAGTTTGGACCAGACAATCCAATGATTGTTATTGTAACCAAGCATCCCACTGTCGCCATCAACCATGTCACCGAGCCTGATCATATCATTCACACTTGATATTGCAATCTCCTTGAAGTCAGATCAGTTTCTCTGATTGGACATCTACCTATTTCTCTGATAAACCCTCTCTCACGTCAGGTGAACCTAGTGTAGACTGTCACCACCAAATGTAAATAGATTATGAATGGGTTCCCGAGATAATCTTAAGTCAGTTTTCAAAACGAGATTGAACCTATGGATTTGGAAAACTTGGCTTCAACAAATTAACCCCCATAAAATAATCGTTTGCTGTTTAACGACGCTGTCAGCAATATCCCTGTAAGTAATCTGATCTGAACCAAATATCCAGTGAATTACATCATTTGCATATATCCATGCAATAGGTCAGGAAATATGTCACGCAATCGGTAACCTGTGATCAACCCACCGAGTCTGGTGACAAGCATAGGCTTCACACATTGTACCCATGACTTTAACCACCAGGCTACCCGACCGCCCCCTCCTATCTTGATGGAGAGAGGCATCGCATCGGAGGAAAAGATCAGCTTGTAATGTGATTGATTCAAATTGGGATGGCGACTCAAGCTAGTGACGATTGTCATATTTTATCTGCCATTTCCGTGTTCAAGGTGTATTATAAATCAACAATATATACAAATGGAAACGAGATGTTGTAGCGGACTAAGGATCCCAGCTAAAGGCTCGACCATTTGAAATTCGGATGACAAAATATTTTAAGCCAGCAACTGCTTTTTGATGTATAAAAGATTTCAAGTCATATATAGGAGTATGTCATCCTCTTGCAGCGGACTACGGATCCTGGTTCGATTCTATCCTCCAGTGGGAGAAGGACATCGAGGCCCAGCGAGATAGACATCCAATACACATAATGTACTATGAAGACATGAAGCAGGTCAGTGCTTTGCAGGTAACGTTTACTGAAATAGAAATGGGGTGGGATGGGGAGGGATATGAACAATTTGATGAATAACTTATGCATGGACTTGATATTGTCTCCAGAACCCCGTGGAAGAGATACGGAAGTTGGCAGGGTTTCTGGGAGTATCTGGAGATGACTCACTGTACAACGCCGTGGCGGACAAATGTTCTTTTGAGAATATGAAGGAGGACAAGGAACCATTTGATCCTAAGTTTAAGGGCAAACTTTTGGTTTACAGGAAAGGTAAGCTCAAGGGGTCATGGGGAAAAATAATGACATTGTTGTTTTTGTTGGTTTCACTTGTTGTTTTACAATACCCTTGCTTAAGTTTCAAGAGACAATGTACTTTTTCAAACTGTGCCAAAGGTCACCTTAATGTCTTGCCAGATGATGAGGGGATGTCCCAAAGACATGTTTATAAATTAAAATGAGTTTTGAAAGTAAATATGATTTAAAATACCTCAGTTTAAATAAAACACCTTCCGAATAGCTGAAAGTCAGGACATATCATTAAATGTTCAGTCGTCGGAAAATCCGTGTTGAAAGTCTGTGTGTATTTAAATCAGTAACGATAGGTTAGCCGCTTGTCCAGATTTATCTAAGTTTTCTTTCTTCTTGGGTTTTAAAAAGCCCCCTTTGGTAAGTCATCTGTAGGTTTTGAGCGCTTATAAGGGAAGATAATTCAAAATTAAGTCCTTCAAGAAATACTTGTGTAACAAGAAGAGATATCAAGGGTGTTTCTCTTTTTGATTCACGTTTCAAAAACACCATACACCAGTCGAATAATATTACATAAGATGTATCGCCTATACCGATACCATTGGTACGACCAGAGGTGTCGGGTGACCTAGGGTCATGCATGCCGCAAGCATGTTTGACACACATTACGTCATTATTTTGAGATGTTAAACCGTCTTACCTTTAACTACGTCATGTCAACAGTCACAAACTTACATGAAGAAAATTAATGAAGAATATAATTTTGTTCGGACATGAAATATTACAAAACTAGTATTTTTAGTTCGGTCAATGATTATTATTCGATAATTAACAACTGTCGTTGCGTGATTGCGTGGTTAATGGAATTGTTTTGTTTAAAAAACGGGTGCCAAAATGATGGTTGACGGACTATAGTCAACATCTTTTGTTATTTGAAACACATAAAAACTATGCCTCTAGCTACAGTTTATAATACTTGATAAGCAGCTTCGGTTAAAAACACCCCTTCCGGTTTAGAAAAAAACCCCACATGACCAATGCCATACAACTTTGAAACAGAAACGACTTTACCTTCAGCAACATGCTACATGTTGCTGGATGTTGCATAAATTCTGGTTTGGTAAAACATACGCCCAGAGCAGTACGACTTTGAAGCAGAAACTGCTACGCATGAGTCTATCGTAACAAGAAGAATAATACTCACTTTGATGACCATGGCCTCCAGTCCCAACCAGGGAATCTAAAGTCCTATCCAGTTATGCTGATCCCAAATCAAACATACAACAAGCAATGTCCTTATTAAATACGCAGGATACCTTTTTTATAACTTTGTACGTTTATAATATTTCCAAATAATCTAACAATAACCTTTTTAAAAAAAGCTGATTATAGACCGGCGAACCTTTTCTTAATAGTTTTAGGAATACTGACTAAATAGAGGCCTTTGGGTGTCAGGATCCAACAACCCATGCTTGTCGTAAGAGGTGACGAACGGAATCGGGGGTCATGCTCGCTGACATGGTTGATGCATGTCATCATATTCCAATTGCAAAGATCGAAGCAGGAACCAGGAACAGCCCAGAGATCATGTACACACAGTTTCGTCATTTCCAAATATTCATAATTGCTCAAGATAGCGTCTGCCAAATGTTTTCGGGTGACCTGGACCTTCAACGTCATCAAATCACATTGCTTGTTGAAGACTTGAATTCTCCAATTCACACTGCCAATAATTTCTGACATTTGACAGAAACGTGACTTGATTCAAAATCTCGTGAAATTTGAACCGGGTTTCATACACTAAATACTAAAAGCAGGTCACCCGAAAGTTTCATCAAATTCCATTCTTATATACCCAAGTGTACACAACCATTAATGTTGTCTGGTTCATACTTGACCTTCAATTTTATCCAGTCATATTTCAAAATATTTCCCCAGTACTGTAAAGGAGGTATATCAGGTATTGAGTCTCAAACATTGGCATGAGCATGTTACGAAAACCATTGCGGCGGCGGCGCTGCTCAACGTCACGCTAACACATGAAGCAGCATCCCTCACAGGGGGGTGCTTAATCATTAACTACTTTGTTGCCAGAGTAAACTCGACATTCACTGAGGGTCACGGGTGACCAAGTCGTCTAAGGCGCCGCAATTCGCTGTGCAGGTTTGGGCACGCTTGAAAACCCATGGTTGTGGGTTCGAATCCCTGTTCGCTCCGATTGTGTTTCTAGGTTTGTCTTTTCCATTTCCCTGCACCTGCTCTGAGATCTACATTACCTCGGGTATTCCTCCAACATTAAGGTCACATGCCGGGACAACTGGAATACTGTTAAACCCAACTCACTCACTCTACCATTATTGTATTCCTCGTTCTAGGTCAGGTTGGTGACTGGCAGAACTGGTTGACACCAGATCAGAACGAGATGTTTGACAAGGTGTACCAGGAAAAGATGAAGGACAGCAAGTTCAAGGACAACATCAGGTTCACTCTGCCCTAAACAGGGGTGACACAAATGCGTGTAATATCAGAATACAAAGACGGACTCAAATACCCAGAAATCAGAACTCCGTGTCCAATGCAAAAGCACGCGACTGCATTCAAGACGTTGTTTCGATTCGAGTAAAGTTGACTGCCTTGCGCTTTGTAACAGTTATGTAAAACAAACTGAGATTGGAAAATATATATGGTCCTACAGCTGGAACTTGGAGAAACTGGACGTTGCATCATGCATGTTTTAAGTCAATGTAGACTTAAAGTAAGACAAGTTCTATGAATTAACAACTTCTTTATTGTAATAAAGAAGTTGTTCATCCATAGAATTTGGCTTACTTCATCACACCAACTTCAAAATGCCACTTAATGAAGTCAATGTAGACTTGTCAGTTATAGGATCAGATTGTTGAGAGTGCATAGTAATCATTACCCGCATCAATATTTTTTAATGCTTGAAAGTTTAGAGGATAATGGTTAAACAAAATTGGTTAGCTGAGGAATTTTACCACTGGATTGTCCTTTTGGTTTTTTTACATGATGTTGGGGAGTGCGACTGGTTGTTATGGTTACGCATCTTGACGTGATCAGGTATCAAGAGCTAAAGTCCTGTCCAGTTATGCTGATCCCAAATCAAACTTACAACCAGAAATGTACATATTAAATACGCAGGATATTTTCTTCTAACTGTGTACGTTTATTATACTTCCACATAATCTAAAAATAACCCAATCTCATTAAAATCAGATCTTAGTTCTCGCTGCCGCTAAACAAAGATCTGAGGACATCACATTAGGGGTCACGTCAGAACGACCTTTCATCCGACCAATCAGAGCATCACTTACTAGATTATGAAAGTGACAGTCGGAATGTGATTTCTAATCATGCAAACTGGAAAACTTTAACTCCGAACGATAGTTACATGTCTAACGACTGAATCCATACAATCTAGACCACCTATTAGCCATTCCAGAATGTTCTTTTGTTCAGGTTTCAAATTTGTAATCAAGAATTTGTCAAAATATCTTTCGAAGGGTAGTCGCCAATTTGAAATAAGTGCCGTAAAGCACGAGAAAAGTTGCCTTCTAATTGGTCATTCCATTGGTCGGTCAAAGTTCGCGCAAGTTCGGTCTGACATGACCCGTAAGGGGATGTCCTCACATCTTTGTTTAGCGGTAGCGAGAACTAAGATCTGATTTTAATGAGATTGAAAATAACATTTTTAAAAGAAGCTGGTTGAGCATTGTGATAGTCATTTGTCATTTTATTACATGCGTAAACTGCACCGGCGAAGATGTTTTCCATAGTATAAGGAACACTAAACATGTCTTACTCGTCAAGTTTGCTTGTCGTAAGAGGTGACCAACGGAAACGGAAGTGTGCTCGCTGACATGTTTGATGCATGTCATCATATCCCAATTGCAAAGATCGAAGCGCATGATGTCAATCACTTGATTGTCAGGTCAGTTCTGGTTACAGGCTGCTGTCATAGAACAGGAATATTGCTGAGTGTGGCGTCAAACAACAAACTTGTCCTCAACAACCGCCATGATTATGGGTTGGTATGGTTACCCAGCAGTATTAATACTGGCCAAACATCCAAACTGGCCATAAGTGTTTGTCCCCGACGCTATCCGATGGATGGTTTGTTTGTTAGGGGACGCTAGTTTTATGGATACTCGAAATAAACATGTTTTTTTCCTGAAGACCTAACTTGTTAACTGAGGGTAACCCTTTTATGCAGTCACATTTGTGGGACACCGAATCATTTAGACACCTGTCTGTTGTACATCTCCATTTCAACAGCAGTTACAGCACTCTGTATGCGATAAACGCTTCGGTTTCCCATCCAAGAAGGGGACTGAGTTCAGTGAAAACATAACGAGTGTGAAACCTGAACATATATATATATAGTTATTTAATATTGTCCAGTTCTGATAACAGACAACATGAGATTGGATGTTTCATCTTGTTCTCCAATTACATGTTTTGTTCAGTTGTCCAAGACCTTCCTTGAAATACTAATGAGTGACATTGATAGTCACAGATAGTCTTGATTACCTCGAGAATCAGAGCAGACGATGCAATATTATCTTCCACGGCGTAGACAGGGCGACGGATGGCGAAACATGGGATGACTGTGAGAATGCAGTGCGTAAGATCATTGAGGATAAAATGGAACTGGATGAATCGCATATTGTTATACACAGAGCCCACAGAATCATTAATGGAAAAGCGATCATAGCAAAGATACCGGACGATCATGATAGGAAACGGATTTACGAAGCGGCAAAGAAACTTAAGAGTTTCAATATGTGGATTACAGATGATTTTTCAAGATTAGTCAGGCAAAAGCGGAAAAAACCTTAAACCTATGTTGACGAAAGCCAGGGAAGAAAATCGTAGAGCGGTTCTGCGCTTTGATAAGCTGATAATTGACGACCAGGTTTTCACGTACGATGTTGACAAGGATAGGGTGATTGAATTAGATCGGCGTCGGGGTTCCCGATCTGCACGTGCGGGTAGTCATCAGAATGTCAACACGGATTCACGTGATACTACACAGGAATGTGGCCGGGCCCACAACAGCGATATTGATGACGATGATCACACTGTATCTGTGAATGATGACGTGAGTGACTGTCAATTTATTATTAAACATTTTGAGTTTATGTCATGGAACATTAATGGTTTAAGGAGGAAGTTGGATAATACTGAACTAATTGATTTTTGTTCACAGTTCAACATTTTTTGTCTTCTTGAAGTTTGGAGAAACTGTGAGAAAGACATGATTGCAACAGTGTTCCCCGGTTATTGTGTTTATGTAAATTACAGAGATTACAATCCGCGAGGCGGTGTGGTTGTATGTGTTCGGTCTGAACTTGAGCGCTATATCAAGTACGTGTGTCTAGATTTCACCCATATTATATTGGTAGTCTTTGTGAAAAGTTTGTTCAGTTCATTGTATGATTACATCTTTGTATTTACATATATACACCCTACTGGCTCCTCTGTGGTAACAGATGTTAGACCACTGCAAGGTATAGAGTATCTCGAGCAAAGCTTTTTATTTATTACTAATCATTTTCCAAATGGTAAGTTTATAGTATTTGGGGATCTTAACGCCAGGTGTGGAAATCAGTCCGATTTTGTTGTGCATGATGGGAATCGGTACATACCGAGCTTTGAGGACATGGACTATGTGTCTGATTCCTTTGACATGCCAAGACGAAGCTGTGATGATGTATGCAATGAATATGGAAAGGAACTCCTAGATTGATGTTCAACTCATAACATTCACATGTTGAATGGGAGATGTGCGGGTGATACAGAGGGTAGCTTTACTTGTTTTAAAGGAGACGGAGCAAGCTTGGTTGATTACTGTTTATGTTCAAGTGACTTATTTACCAGAGATATCGACTTTACTGTACGTACACGGTGTGAGTCTGATCATTTTCCAATCGTTATGTCATTGCGAGTACATACTGACAGTACAACGGAGTACGGGGCAGAACACGAGGAAAATAATACATCGTCAGATATACTAAGATATGTTTGGAAGGACGCTGTTATTGAAACTTTTCGGCAGTCTGTCGCTGATATGTTATCACCTTATGTATTAGATAGTGACAGAGACCAGGTTCCACTTAATATCGAGTCTGCGGTAGAAACTTTGGTTGATGTATTTCATATTTGTGCTGAGTCTTGTGGTCTTTTAAAAAAGAAGTATAGTACTGTTTGCCGGACTCAGGATAGTAAGAATTGATACGATGATGAGTGTATGAAATCAAAAAGACAAAAGTTTAATAAACTTGATCTATTCAGAATCTCAGGAAGTAAGGAACTTTTGAAGGAATATGTTGTAATTAAGAATAAATATAGAGAAATGTGTAGACAGAAGAGATTGAAGCATGATGAACATTGTATAAATGATCTGGTCAATAATAGTAAAAGTGGTAAATCCTTCTGGAGACGCATCAACAATATTATTTCTTCACCTTCTGTGACAGGGAACCCATGTATTACCAATATGCAGTGGACCGAATATTTCCAGCATGTGTTTAATTTAACTGATATACTTGTGGATGAGGACAATCTAGATGAGGCAGAAACTTTTATGAACAATCATGATATTAATGAGTGCAATTACTGTAATGATGATGTTATGAATAATCTCCTTAATGCTGATATAACTGAAGAAGAAGTATCATCAGCTATACATAACTTGAAACTGGGTAAATCGGCTGGGCCGGATGGAATTCTACCGGAAATGGTGAAATGTTGTAGTACTTCAATCATATCATACTTAACTATAGTTTTTAATAGGATTATGCAAAGTGGTGCATTCCCTTACGAGTGGGCAAAGGGTATAGTAGTTCCCCTGAATAAGAAAGATAATATAAACGATGTCAATAATTATAGAGGAATAACGCTGATGGATGTATTTGGATGTTGATGACAACAGTATTAAATAATAGACTCAAGACCTTTGCCGACGTTTATGATACAATCCGTGAATCTCAGGCAGGATTCCGAAGCGGATACAGTACAATTGATAATATATTTACATTACAATGTTTAGCACAAAAATATCTCTCTAAACGTCGGGGTAAATTTTATTGTTTGTTTGTTGATTTCCGTAAAGCATTCGATTCGATTAACCGAAATCTCTTGTGGTATTCATTAATGAAAAATGGAATACATGGTCGTTTATTGGTGGTTTTGAAGGATCTGTACTCTAAGATTCAGTGTGCTGTCAGGACATCAAATAACTCTCTTTTAGATTATTTCGAATCACTGAGTGGTGTAAGACAGGGCTGCGTGTTGAGTCCTTTTCTGTTCACGATGTTTATCCATGAATTACAGTCAATGATAGAAAGTAGTGATATGCGAGGGCTTTTTATTGGAGAGGAGTTTATGGACATATTACTTTTACTATATGCAGATGATTTGTGTATTTTTGATGACACAGTAATAGGTCTGCAAAGAAAAATTGATATTTTATCCAATTTTTGTAAAACGTGGGGACTTGAAATTAACATGTTAAAACCGAAATTTTGGTTTTCAGAAGAGTTGGTACTTTAAGGTATGATGAACGATGGTTTTTGAATGATAAACGTACAAATGTAAGTACTTACTATAGTTATCTGGGTGTTCTGTTTTCAAATAGATTGTCTTGGACTAAATGCATTGATACTCTCAAGATAAAAGCAAATAAGGCTTTGTTTGCCATTAAACAATTGCAATTTCACTTTGTAAATATGCCAATTAACATTTTATTTAAATTGTTTGATATTAAGATAAAGCCCATTCTTCTTTATGGTGCTGAGATCTGGGGCTGCAAAGGTGGTCAAATTGTCGAAACTTTTCATACTAAGTTTTGTAAATTTGTTTTAGGAGTTGGTAAATATGTGTCAAGTACGGCAATATTAGCTGAATGTGGAAGAAATGGTTTGCATGTGGATTATCATATGAAGTGTGTTAAACACTGGTGTAAACTGATTAGAATGAATGATGAAAGATATCCCCGACAGTGTTATTTGTTAATGAAGAAGCTGGATGAATGTGGTAGAATTACTTGGGCAACTCATGTTAAATATTTACTCGACATATATGGATTTGGTAATGTGTGGTACGAACAGAATATTGGTGATGTTAAGTGTTTCTTGCAGCTATTTAGACAACGTTTGTTGGATTGCAACAAACAGAGTATACAGATGAAAATGTATGAGTCTCGTAAATTAAGGTTTTATTCACACGTCAAGATATTATTGGATATGGAATATTATGTTACAGCTTTCAGAAATAGAGACCATAGACGTATGATGTCCTGTTGCGATTAAGTGAATTGCCTATACGGAGTAATCTGGGCAGAAGAGAGGATATTGATTCTTCACAACGCTTTTGTCGGCTATGTAACAATGGTTGTATTGAGGACGAAGTCCATTTTGTGTTTGTCTGCCCGTTTTTACGCAACAATAAGACAAAAGTATATTCCTGTAAGATTCTATAACAATCCATGTATTAAGACTTTTAGTAATCTCTTAAATAGCAAAAATGACTGTATACTCAGAAATGTAGCTAAGTATGTGAAGGAAGCCCTATTATTACGTACCAAGTCCTAATATTATACCCTTAAGATTGTTTGCAATGTAAATTGTCTCAATTGTATATTACTACATATAACTGAAATGTACATGGGCCTATGGCCTCCCATACATGAATAAACACACGTTGATAGTCTCTTCAGATGCGTTTTCCGTATCGTCAATTCTAAAGTAGAAATCTCCGAATTTCGGCTGAAGTTTCCAAAACAAATAATTACGGGTTTTTTTCATCATCAATCTTTTATTCAATGATCTCAGTGTATTTCCAAGACTTTCTCTACATTTGATTTGTCCCAGAAAGGTAATAAACGATATGAGGGGACACCAGAAATGGGTTTCACACGTTGTACCCATGTCCGGAATCGAACCCGGGTCTTCGGCTTGACAAGCTAACGCTTTAACCACTAGGCTACCAGACCGCCTCCGAAGATGAAAGAGCAGAAGTTAGATCACTATGGGCAAAATGGTTAATTCATTCTGGAGTTAACCAGTGATGAAATTCATCATGATTTCAGACTATGCATTCTACTGCCAAATTGTTGGTGCCTAAGACTGTAAAGGAATGTGATAAATTTTATTATTGTTTGTTCAGTCAGGATACTATTGTTCTATGTGATGGTTATGAAAATGTTGACGATGTGCATGTACTTATTTCTATCCGAGAATAGTTGTGCCGTACACTAAGCCAGCTGTCACGGTCACAACAGCTGTCACAGAAAATCATGTCATAGCCAATGTATACTAGCCACATTAAGAAACTGTGCACGGAGAAAATATAGATATAAGGGCACACCGTCCATATATGAAATATAGGTTTGAACACAGCAATTATTGGAGACATTCAAACGCTCATGCACGTGCCATGCGATATGACGTCATTGATGGGGGCCTATGGACGTGAAATGTGTTACTGCACGTGCATCCTGTGCAGCTGTACACAGCATGTGCAACTCAAATTCGCTGTCACTTTGGAAAGCATGATCTGTGGTCATTCAAACATTCACAACTTCTCAGGCGCAGACACAAGCATATCACAAGCAAATCATGCCAAGATTGACAGCTGCACAGCGTCATGAGGCCATTGGAATGATCCGAGCGGGAATGAGGCAACAACAGGTGGCAACACATTTCCAATGCCATCGTATCACGATATCGGCATTGGTGAGGCGTTATCAGAACACAAATGACGTTGCCGACCACCCACGTTCAGGACGTCCCCGAGTAACGACGCCAAGACAGGACAGATGGATTCGAGTTACACATCTCCGACACAGGTTCCAAACGGCAGTAACGACGTCCCAGACAATTCCTGGACTGCGCCGTATCCATCCCAACACTGTCAGGAATCGTTTACGTCAGTACGGGATTCGACCACGACGCCCTGCCATACGTCCCATCCTGACACACCGTCATCGAGTCAACCGTCTAAGATGGTGTCGAAATCATGTTCGCCAACCTCGAATATGGTGGAGAAATGTTGTCTTTACAGATGAATCGAGGTTCAACATTTCCTACAGTGACGGGCGCCAACGTGTCTACCGGCGTTTGGGAGAACGTTATGCACGCCACTGTATTGTGGAGAGGAATCGTTTTGGAGGTGGCTCTGTGATGATTTGGGGTAGGATAACAGCACGGCACCGAAACCCTTTGGTGGTTGTTCAGGGCAATCTCACCGGTGTTGGCTACAGAGATCAGATTCTGATGCCTGTGGTCATTCCTTTCCTGCAACGTCATGGCCCGGGATTGACATTTCAACAGGACAACGCTCGTCCTCACACGACTAGGGTCGCAATGGATTTCCTTCACCATAACAATGTCATGTTACTGCCATGGCCTGCAGTTTCTCCAGATCTCTCCCCAATAGAGCATGTGTGGGATGAAATGGAGCGCCGTATGCGTCGTCTTCCACATCCTCCAGATAACGTCCTTGACTTGGCACAGGATTTGAGGAGGATATGGCAGGCCATTCCTCAGGCCTTCCATGCCCATTTGGTGGACTCCATGCGTCGCCGATGCACTGCTGTGATTCACGCACAGGGTGGTCATACCCGTTATTGACTTTGTGACTTTGTCGTATGACCCCCTACTCCATTTTGATCTTCTGACGTCATCGTAACAGATGTTGTTCAGGTCCCGTTGACATTTTCTTATGGTCCGATCATTCAGCTGCTACAGCGTCTACGCCATTTTGTTCTTGTTGTGTTGTATTTCAATCCAGAATATATTTTCTCCGTGCACAGTTTCTTTATGTGGCTAGTATAGTTCGTCAACTCAGAATGTCAGTCCCAGTTCGAAGGTGACCTTCTTGACTAATGCTAATTCATGCGTCAATTAAAAACAAACAGTGTTAACACAGATGACGACGACGAAAGACTCAACTACCTTTACAAATGAGAAAACTCGCCAGATGTCAATGGATTTGCTTACCTTGATGCCAATGTGGGTTATCCAGCAGCCCTCAAATAGCTTCATCAACGTTTTACCACCAGACAGTCTAAAGGGGCTTGGCGAATTTGCTATCTTCTAGTGGTTATGACATTTAAAGAATAGACGCTGTTAAGGTCCTACACTTTGCAGAGAGCATATCTATGTTAATCAGCAAACTCCCCTTCCGCTACCATGATAAGTGGTGACATATTGTTATCTGAGTTCAGGAATGATCTGCACCTGTCAAGTCCAACGCTCCTGCACAGTTAGTGATGAAGGAAACCAGAAAGGCCTGGGATCATACAAATGAACATGAGGCTTTAAGGACGACGGAACAGAAAGCAAATGTTGGACTAGTTATGAATCAGCAGGTCACCAGTCAACAACCTCTGAAGGGAACTTAGCAACATAGATGTCTTGCGCCAACAACTGAACTCGGCAACACTATTGATCGATCCAATGGTACATCAGTACAGATGGACCCCGCGCTCCAAACAATACATATGTACAGTAATTAAACATCTTACCCAATAGGGACATGCGACTCTTTCTCAAAGCTACCAACCGCCGTGAAATTGCTGGAATATTGCTAAAAGCGGTGTAAACCCATACTCACTCTCTCAAAACTACCTCGTACTGATAGAACAAACATTTTGCGATTCAAAGGTATGTGTTTTTGATGACAGAAAAGAGGTCGTGTAAACTGGGAAGGTCGATCAAGAGCAACCTGTTCAATCTTCGACATCCAAGTGTGTTCCACAATGACATAGGGTAAGGGACAAGCAAGAAACTAACCAAAAAAGGTCCAACCACAGACACCCATATTGTAAGAGTACAAGGCTCCGTCTCATAACGAAGTTTGATCATTATCAGCTGTATCACGAGGCTAATGGTTTCGGTGGTCAGGCTTGGTGACTTGGTTGGTTTGCAATCTTCGACATCCAACTGTGTTCCACAATGACATAGGGTAAGGGAAAAGCAAGAAAATAACCCCAAAAGGTCAAGTTGATGCCTTCAAATATCCCTCAACCTCCATGCATTCACTTACATCCAGATTTTTATAGGAGGGCATACAAGGATATTTTACAGTTTTTCAAACCACACTTTACCGGGAAACATCTATCACAGTAGTATGGGCTCTCCGTTTCATGGGATCATTTTATAGATGAGGTGAGGTGAAATTGGGTTTAACGTCGCGTCCAAGATTATTGTACTTATATAGCCACGTGCATGCACGTGTGTGTGTGTATGTGTGTGGCTGCTTGTACTAGTCCGGACTGATGCCGATTTATAGTGCTAGCTCACTGAGATACCATGCCGCAGTTTAACATGAATACCCCACTCAGACACAGTATACTGACTCCGAGCCGACCAGTCCTTGTTTTAGACCCATAATGCCGAGCGCCAGACAGGGTTACAACAAGTTCCATCTTTTAACGTCTTTTGGTATGACGCGGCCGGGAATCGAACCCCGGACCTTCCACTCTCCGGGCGGACGCTCTACCACTAGACCACGGAGGCGGTCGTGTGGCACACAGCTTGTTTTGTACTGAGTGCAACAAATTAAAGAAAATTCCCTGGGAGGCCGCCAGCCTTTTGAGTTCAGTTTATACATCACAAAATCCTCCAACCTCCATGCATTCACTCTCCACCCAAGGTTCCGTCTTGGCTCTGCCACCAAACCCATCCACACGTTTGTGTTCAGTCTTGTTGTTAGTTTCACAGGAACGCACACTTGGAGATTTTACAGTTTTGAAACCGCGGACAGACATACAGACAGACAGATTTATTCTCTATGAAGGCCAAATGGCCAAGAGGTACAAATACAATGCTTTTACGTCAGCTTCCAGTCGTGAACAGTAAAAGTAAATGTATGAAGCGTAGATAAAATACCTACAAGGGACATAACTCAACATTACAAAAATGACACGTCAAAACATGCTTTAAGTTAATAGCAACAGCCGTGATTTTACTTTGCTGCTCAGACTATAAAATATTTACAAGGTCTTGTTTACAATCTTGGTAAAATACATATTTCGCAAAATTATATATTTTTTACATTACATCCTGAACTGCAGATCCCCTTTGTGGTAGCTTTATTTGTAAATTGTTCAAAGATCTTCTAAACATACAGAATTATTAAAAATGGGTTTGGGTTGTAAATTGGAATTTACATCATCATAACGACATAGGAATATTGATGGTGTTATTGAATCATGCCAGGGCAATTAGTTTGCTTTAAATGGTACAAAGTTATTTTTTATCTCCAACATTTTGGGAGATCCAAACATAAGCAAAACCAGCAGAAAATCAAAAATGTCGAAGCTCGGATTCCCAACTGTTTTTGCCAGTGTCCTCTAAGCTTTCAAGCATTATATGTCATTGATGTGGATAAAGGTTACAGTCTCCCAACAACTGCCTAATCCAAAAGCTTACTAATCTAACGTGGTAGTGAATATGTACACTGTGACGTCTATTATCCCAAAGTGCAGATCCGTTCGTGAGACCTGCATCACTTCAGGCTTTCCTCCCACATTAAGCCGACACGCTGTGATATGACTGGAATACTGATAAAAGCGGTGTTAAACCAAACTCACTCACTCACTGTACAACAAACTTGAACACTTCCATTATGCATCATGCAACAGCAACATGAAGTCCCAGCTGCAAGTACTTGGTGTGGTGTGTTACAAAAGCGTCTAGGCTCATATTGAATATTAAGCTCCCTATCAATGCTGTGCGCCGATCTGTTTAAATATATTTATATTCTTCAAAGAAAGGTATATTTAACGTCTTAATACATATTAATCTTGTAGTTCGAGTAGTATCATCTTCCCAAGGCAAGTGAGTTAACTGACTATAAAAGTCCAGTTGCACCGAAATCGAAATCCGGTTCGTAGAGTGTCATGCAGATTTCGGTCGACTGCAGGATTTGCAAACCATGTGCACCGCTAGCTCGTTGTCAACAGATATTTTCTAAATCTTTTCATGTTTTTAATCAAGGTGCTCACGTGATTTGATGCACTTCGCGATGTAAGACTCGTTTTATCACAAAAAAGATATTGATCGTCTTGATTGGACGCCACCGTTTTGTTTGAAACAAATGCAAGTGATACGAGAGGTTGAATCTGATTGGTCAATAGGAGACGCATAGAAAGGACATAACTCGTAATAGCCACTGGTGGCGCTACGATCGAGCCCAGGAATTCCAGCCTAGTTCGACAAGGGTGGAAACTGGACTTTTAAAGTCAGTTAACTCTCTTGGCTCGCGAAGATGGAGTAGAATAGGCAAGAGTCATCTTCGGATTCCATGGCGCACTGGTATCCGCAAAAAGAGAACATACCGTATTCGACGTAATAAGCGCCCAGGGCGCTCTCAAAATTAGAAATAGGGGGTTCTTATTAGAAAATTATTTTGGTGAAAAAAAAGTTGAAAGATAAATATCGCGGTTTATGCTGACAGCCTGAAATGTTTATGTACGACAGATATATTTTTTCCAGAATTCTATTGCCCATAAATAAGGGTGCATATAACACACGAATGCGTATTATTCGCGAAAACATAAGTCTTGTGTACATTGATCAATCGGAAGGGGTGCCAATTGGGATTGTTCATTTGCCAATATATTAGCAAATATCGCCGTGGGCGCTTATTACGTCGAATACGGTATTGAGAAATCACTGAATCTGAGCATTTTGAAAGGTGTCGTCAATATTCAAACTTATCTAACTATAAATGAAAAGTCTGGGCCAGTCATTACAGTGACTAAAACATTGGCAACGATCTTCGCCATCAGGGCACAGTGACACATATTCAGGAAAGCTAACCACAAAGTTCTCTTTAGTAGGCTGTCATGGCAAGCAGGTTATGCTTGGGCGTGGTCCTCAACGGAATTGTCATGGTGAGAATATATGCACATGGATTGGGTTCATATTTGATTACAATACATTTGCCGCACCTGTTTTTCTAGCAATTCGCAGATGCACTTGTTCTTGTGTAATGTGGGATGCCTGTTTACAACACTCGTTTCAAATCCTTTATCAAACAGAAGGTCATAATTTCTTCGTTTTTTCCAGCTTTTCTTGTTTTATCCTGAAATTAAAAATAAAATTCATGAATAGTGAATGAGTATGGTTTTACGCCGCTATTTTAGCAATTTTCTAGCAATATCACAGCGGGGATCAAGAGAAATGTGCTTCACATATTGTACCCATATTGAAGTCGATCCCGGGTCTTCGGCGTGAAGAGCGAAAACCTTAACTACTGGGCTACCCCACCGTGCCTGATTATATCATGATGACAAGCAACATATGCTTAAGTTGCTGCCATGATGATGTACAGAAGAATGAGGACAAGGCGAAGGCAGTATTGGCTGAGACCTTGGACCACAAGAAGGCCACAGTTAGCTCTAGGAGACTATGAGAATCTGATGGCAGAGTTGGAGAGAAATAGTCGCGGTGATTTCGGGGGCTACATCAGAATAGAGCCTGTCAACATCGGACATCTCTGGCTCTGCCACCTCATCAGGTATACGCCTCTTCTTTTGTTGAGATGTTGTTGGGTCTGGCTCAATTGTAGCAGACCTGTGCACCACAGCAATTGTCTCTATTGTCTCTTCTACAATTTCTTTTGTTTCCCTGCCTTTACGGACCATTGTGATGAATGGAAATAATTGAGTACTTATGACAACATGATGCTGCAATGCACAGAGAGGTCTTTTTATAGACGGTGACAAGTTGCAAACCCAACGGCGATTGATCGACACACGGTCGCCACTAGGTTGCAAAGGGTCAACACCCTTGCGAAGATGAAAAAGATCGCCGCACAGAGGAAACCAATCTGCGATTAAAATAACACCACTTGGGGACCTCAAGGAGACCAATAAACCTCCGAGCGACAAAATCGGTCGCGGACAGTGAGTGAGTTAAAATTTAACGTCACATCGGCAGTATCTCAGCCATATAGTGACTGGTCGCGGACAATCTTTTGTGCATGTTCAGAAGACTGGTTGCGAACGAACGGGTTTTGCGACCGCTCTGAAACCCCCAAAACCTCACTGCGATTCCATACATGACACACTTATTTTAGTTGGAATCACAGCCTCAGCATCGGTAGGAGGCACGGGTGGCCCATTCGTCTAAGGCGCCGCGATTCGCTGTGCAGAGTTGCGTCCCTTGGGCACGCCAGAAGCCTATGATTATGGGTTCGAATCCCGGTTCGCCCCGATTATGTTTCTAGGTTTGTCAGCACCATACCCATGCTCGTGGGTTTCACCGAAGCGGTAAACGTCTGAGACCTGCATCACTTCGGGCTTTCCTCCCACATTAAGCTGACACGCCGTGATATAACTGGAATACTGTTAAAAGCAGCGTTAAACCCATCTCACTCACTCAGCATCGGTAAGTTACCTTTTACTCTTATATTCCTTTTAGAAACAGTTTCGATTTTTGAAGAAACGGGCGCCGGTGTATTTTTTTCATTCAAGGCATTTCATACTTAATCTCCTAACATCTGTTCACCTGTTTGACCTAAAACCTATAGGCATTCGTCTATTTGTCTAAGGTATGCATTCGCCTATTTTCCTTGTATATACATGCATTTTCAAAGGGGTGATTAATTTTTTTCAAGATAATCAGTCAGCTGAAGATTTTAATGTAATTATATTTACATCCATCTGCACCGCACCATTTAAATGTTATATGTTATAGGAAAGTTGTATGTGTTTTACAATACATGTATGTATCTTTAACATTTATCATGTTCACAATTTTGTTTCAATCAATACAATAACATCATAAGGTATCCATTCTTGTTCACGTTTGTGAACAAACTTATGAATCAATCAATATCAGAGTATCAGCCTACTTCCATTCCAAATTTATCAAGGCCTCTGTAAAGCTTTCAAAGGTTTTAGGGGCGGTCGGGTAGCCTAGTGGTTAAAGCGTTCGCTCGTCACGCCGAAGAACCGGGTTCGAATCCCGACATGGGTAAAATGTGTGAAGCCCATTTCTGGTGTCCCCCGCCGTGATATTGCTGGAATATTGCTAAAAGCGGCGTAAAACCATACTCACTCACTCACTTCAAAGGTTTTAATGGTAGACATGCGCAGGACAATTCCAAACAAGACGCATCAATGACAAAAATGATGTCCGATGCTATCCATATTTTCTCTTGTACCATTGTGTTTTTTTAGATGAACAATTGACTTGCCTTTGCATGTGTTTGTGACGGGAGCAACCGGTGGGACAAGATACGCTCACCTGTTGGGCAGTGATTCATAAACAAAAGCTTATGATCTGGTCGGAATCGTACAATATACAGACTTTTCGTCGCTTCTACTACTATCTTTTTCATGTCACTATTCCTTACCTCTCTGTCTCTGTCTCTCTCCGGGAAAGTTTCACCAGCCTCACGTGCCCAGTAAATGATGTCACATATGTATTTCTGAAGAAAGATAACACGTGGGTTAGCAGTGAAGGATGGACGTGGTACCATGACAACTGTCACACATTACAACTGACGATACACATTACAAACGACAGCACACATTTACCATTGACTGTATACTTTACAGTTGACGTCACAGATTACAAATGTAGTAACATTACAACTGTCGTCACACATGACAACTAACGGCACACGTTACAACTGACATCGTACATGACAACTGACCCTTGGAGATCCGGGTTAGAATAGGTCTTCAGCAGCGCCGTAACAGGCGACTATGCTCGTCGTAAGAGGCGACTAAAGGGTTCGGGTGGTCAAGCTCGCTGACTTTGTTGGTGCATATCGTAGACCGATGCTCATGATGTCAATCACTGGATTGTCTGGTCCAGACTCGAATATTTACAGACCGCCGTCATATAGCTGGAATATTGCTGAGTGTGGCGTTAAATAACAAACAAACAAAACAAAACATGACAACTAATGTCACACATTGCAACTGACGGAATGACGTCACACATTGCAACTGATGTCAGTTTTTCCAGCTGGTGTCACACATTGCAACTGACGTAATCATTCCAGCTGGTGTCACGCATCGCAACTGACGGAATGACGTCACATTGCAGCTGACGTAATCATTCCAGCTGGTGTCCCACATTGCAACTGACGTAAGACATTCCAGATGGTGTCACACACTGCAACTGACGGAATGACGTCACATTGCAACTGACGTAAGACATTCCAGCTGGTGACACACATTGCAACTGACGGAATGACGTCACGCATTGCAACTGACGTCAGTTTTTCCAGCTGGTGTCACAAAATGCAATTGACGGAATGACATCACCGATGCAACTGACGGAATGACATCACACATTGCAACTGACGGAATGATGCTACACATTGCAACTGACGTCACTTTTCCATCTCGTGTCCCAAAATGCAGCTGACGGAATGACGTCACTCATTGCAACTGACGGAATGACGTCACTCATTTCAACTGACGTCAGTTTTTCCAGCTCGTGTCACAAAATACAGCTGACGGAATGACGTAACACACTGCAACTGACGTCACACATTTCAGCTAGTGTCACATATTACAACGGGTCTTACACATTGCAAATTCTACTGAATGGGTTCTATACACATTCCATATGCATCACCAATCTATCATACACTTTGTTTTTCTTGTTTAACGCCGCACTCAGCAATATTCCAGCTATAATCTGAAATAATCGAATCTGGACCAGACAATCGAGTGATTGATATCATGACCATCAATCTACGCAATCGGGATACGATGACAAGCATCAACCAAGATCAGACCGCCCGATCCCATTAGTCGCCTCTTACGATAAGTATAGTCGCCTTTTATGGCAAGCATGGGTTGCTGAAGACCTATTCTATCCCGGGTCTTCACGGGTTCTATCATACTCACCATACATGGTTTTAAGTCATAATACATGACCTTCAACTGACGAGAATGTTAAGGAAAGCCATTGTCAACTATATGAAGCAGATTTGAGAGTGGACCGTATCATTTAGTGTATATAATTTTCCATATTTTGAGCTCATACAATTAACATATCACACAAGTAGCTGCCAAAACATGACAAGCACAATTTTGCGACAAGACATTAAGCATGATTTAAAATAACCTTTATCGGATTCTGGGACTTTTTGTTTCCGAACATGAATGGGAAATACACTGAACAACAAAAGTACCTGTGACATTTAGATTTAATGCAAAGTTATGCTTTTTACCAAATCTGAAACAATTTCGGTTTGCAACAGATAAAAAAGACTCATGTAAGTGTTCAAGTGGTTTAATTTGCCATACTGACTTCAGAAAATGCGTGATTTCATAAAAAACATGAACATGCCAAAATGTCAGTTACAAATCAATAGCTGTAAAAATGGAACAGTTATCAATAGCAACCTCTGGTTGCGAGGCAAGCAACACATCTTCGTCTCGTGGAAAGGGCCAGGCGTCGCACAAAGTCCTGTGGGATATCTGTCCATATCTGCTGGAGCATGTTTCGAAATTCCTAGAGTGTCTGTGGAACACGTGGTTGACGTCGAAGGCGCGTATCCATCGCATCCCACATGTGCTCGATTGGTGAGAGATCAGGGGAGCGAGCCGGCCAGGGGATGACATTCACGTTGTTATGTTGAAGAGAATCCTGAACAAATCGAGCAATATGAGGCCGAGCGTTGTCATGTTGAAAGGTAATGCCTTGGCCACAATATTGAAAACCAAACTTTACTTGTTTGAAAAATACACTAAAATATTGGTGTCACAGGAACTTCTGTTGTTGAGTATATAATCTGATAACTAAACTGACTCATGACAGTTAATATTTTAACATGCCCACTTCTTATTACTGTATGGGACAGACCATTTGGTATTCTGGGGGAGGGGGTGGGGTTGGTACATTTCTAAGTATGTGACGACTCTTCTGCACATCAGAACACTTCAGCATTACCCAGAGTGTCTGCTGTGTTCCTAGCGGCAAACCCGGGTACGCTCCCAAAGTCGGTCAACAGATTGGGAGGTACCAAACCTAGGGCACCGAGAACAATGGTGAGTCGGGCAACTTGGTACTTGGGGTGCAAGCGTGACATTTCGTAAGCGAGGTCCGCATATTTGCCATGTGTTCTGAATCGTGTTCTGAAATTATCCATAACGCGTGGCATAACATAAATATGTAAATCAAAGTGTGAGTGCGGTCATTCACATTGAACTTATAATTATCACAATCCTGAGACAAGAATCCGCAACCATCAGAAAACATATTTTTCTCTAAAGGATACAGTTGGTGGTCCACATAGCCGACAGAATCCATAGTTGACAAGGATATTTGTTTTCAAAACATGTCCTAGAGTATATGCTTGCAGGCGAGCTTTCAATCTTTTTAACATCTGAAAAATAACCAAGCAAACATGCTCATGTGACAGCACGTCATGTGACATGACATTCCTTCAGAGCGGCGAAAGTAATCTCAATAACACACAACACACACTCATGAACGATTGCGGGCGTGTGACAATAAAGGCGTGCGTCAACTCTGTCGGCAGCAATGCCGTATATTGTACATATACGGGGAGAGCAGTCGACTCAGATATTTGTTTGTTTGTTTTTTAATGCCGAGTTCAGAATATTCCAGCTATATGACGCTGGTCTGTAAATAATCGAGTATGGACAAGACAATCCAGTGATTGACATCATGGGCATCGATCCACGCAATTGGGATATGATGACATGCATCAAACCAAGTCAGTGAGCCTGACCACCCGACCCCGTTAATCGCCTTATACGACAAGCATGGTTGCTGAAGACCTATTCTACCTCGGATCTTCACGGGTCCGACTCAGATGTCTAAGATATAGAGGTTGTGTTCGTCGGACATGCTGGTCAACTGTATCAGCATCATCTGCGTGTTTGTGGATTTCTCCAAAGTTGCAAACGTCTCTAGCCGCGATATAAATATTCTATTGTTCAAATCTTAACTCACTTACTAATTTTATTGTAATAATGTATCGAAGTATCAGCGATGGACAAGGGGAAACAAAGTAAGATATGGACATATCAGTAATAAATTTGTTCTGAGGTGAGGTGAAATGGGGTTTAACGTCGCGTCCAAGATTATTGCACTTATAAAGCGACGTGCATGCACGTGTATGTGTGTTAGTGTGTGTGGCTGCTTGTACTAGTCCGGACTGATGCCGATTTATAGTGCTAGCCCACTGAGATACCATGCCGAAGTTTAACATGAATACCCCACTCAGACACAGTTTTGAAAGATGTGGTGGATTTGTGTGTATGTCTAACGCTGGAGTCTGCTATATTCCAGCTAGGTGACGGTGGCCTGTAAGTAACCGAGTCTGAACCGAGCAAGCCAGTTATTCATATTGCAAGGAATGTTCTACGCCGTCAAGGTATGATGACAAGCACCGAACCAACCTTACCACACGATCAATTTTGACGCCTTTTACGACAATCAGTTGGCTGCTTGTGACCTACACATACATTGAATCCTCATGTATCAAGCATGGACCGCTTCCGTGGTGTAGTGGATAAAGCCTCTGCCGGGAAGCGGAAGGTCGGTGGTTCGATCCCCTGGATACCAGAAGACATTACAAATAGGTACTGGCTCAAAGTCAGTAAACTGTCTGAGAGGGGTATCCGTGTTCAACTGGTATATCAATCGGCTTGCATTAGTACGGCACAATCCCGGACGAGAACAAGCAGCACTATTGTGTGGATCGATGTCCACTATGCCAATCACTGGATTGTCTTGCCCATACTCGATTATTTACAGGCCGTCATACAGCGGGAAAGCAAACGAGATTAATATTCCAGAGGTTCTTAGAACATTGTCAAGTAATAGGTTTTTTTAAGAAGTGACAGGCACTTACCTGAACATGTACACCGCAGACCAAACCTACACTGACGTGTGGTGTACATATGCAGACCAAACCTACACTGACGGACCCATGAAGATTCCGGGGTAGAATAGGTCTTCAGCAACCCATGCTTGCCGTAAAAGGTGACTATGCTTGTCGTAAAAGGAGACTAACGGGATCGGGTGGTCAGGCTCGCTGACTTGGTTGATGCATGTCATCGATCCCAATTGCGTGGATCGATCTCATGATATCACTGTATTGTCTTGTCCAGACTCGATTATTTACAGACCGCCGTCATAAAGCTGGAATATTGCTGAGTGCGGCGTTAAACAACAAACCAAACCAAACCTACACTGACGACAGGCATAGCAAGAACCATGCCAATTAAAATGTAATCGTTAAACATTCTCTATCTGTGACAAACTGCGACATTATATCTCAGTGGGCTAGCATTATAAAACCGACAGAACCCCATTTAACCATAGTATAAAAAAGTGATACGCACTTACCTGTACATGTGCAACATAGACCAAACCTGCTCCGAGGACAGGTATGAGTAGAACAACGGCTAGAAGAAAGTCTCCATTCACCATTTTCCTATCTGATGCTTCCATTATGCAGATAATTAGCATTATCAGCAAAATGCAGAATGTTGTGCCGCAACAGCAAATGCCGCAACAATGACGAAAGGAGTGGATGGTGGAATAGTACTTCATGTAGGCAGAGGTGTTGGCAATATCCTTTGCTTCATAATATACTCGCTCAACGAACTGAAACAAACACAAACGTGTTTTGATATGGACGAGCTTAAAACGGGCAGGATACATAAACATGATATGAATTGGGAACGAGTTTTTTATGTTGTTTGTTTTTTAGCGCCGCAATATTTCAGCTATATTACGGCCGTCTGTTGATATACATCGATATTGCAGCTGTCATCGATATTCGAGCTGACATCGATATTCGAGCTGACATCGATATTCCGGCTTACATCGATATTGCAGCGGCATCGATATTCGAGCTGACATCGATATTCGAGCTGACATCGATATTCCAGCTGACATCGATATTCCGGCTGTCATCGATATTGCAGCTGTCATCGATATTCGAGGTGACATCGATATTCCGGCTGTCATCGTAATTCCAGCTGACATCGATATTCCAGCTGACATCGATATTCAGGCTGTCATCGATATTGCAGCTGAAATCGATATTCCGGCGGGTTGTACATATTCGAGTCTGGACCAGACTAATCAGTAGTAAACGAAGCAATATAAACCAAATCACCAAAGAACCAAAAGATAAGCCGACACGTGAAGAATAAATTCGGAAAGATTTCTACCCGTGGGGGATTCTGGGTTAGTATAGGCACCAAGGTTCCTATTGTTTGTTGTATGAGGCGTTGTATGAGGCGTTTGTTGTATATATGCCTCTATATATACATTGTATATGCCTCTAGAATAGGTATTCCAGGGGGGCTCAAGTCATACACGTTATGTTCTGTCATGTATTTCATTCAATCAGCGGTATCAAATCGCTAGCTAATATGAAGCTAATATTTTTGGAACAGTACTTCTTTTACAGCCACTGTCAGTAGGAATACGTGTACAAAACTAACTATATGTACAATTATAGGCTACAACATGCAAACTTGCGGTTACTACAGTATTCAAGGGATGTGATGCAATACGTTCGTGTTAAGTATTACGGTGTAAACAAACTGCTTGTTTAAAGGTTGTTGTCGGTGATTCCGCAAATTCTGATCGCCGATCCACTTAAAACCAAACAATGACGCTTCGATCAACATATTTGCTAACATCAAACAGTTAGCGTCCAGTTCCAAATTCAATTTAGCGAGGTTTAATCTACGCGTGGGGAACCTTGCTCTACATTGAAAACACAACGTGTTTATCTCCTACTTACCTTGCTTCCAAGTTGGCGAAGCTCGTACCGTTGGTGTTGGTCGAGATCCCGAAAAGACCAAGCAGATCCTCTGCAAGTGTATTTCAAATTTTTCTCTCCAAGTATTCTAGCAACAGTTCCATTAGTTGGTCCTTGAAAATTAACAAACGATGTCATGGATATTACATTTTATTATAGCTAAAATGGATAGAATTATCATTAAACCGCCCGCACGTTATCAGAAATGAGCGGGCCACTGTAACTTGATAATGCCCTCATATTGCTTGACGACGGGCCATTATCAAGCCCGTTGTTAGATGACGTCATAGGGTAGAGAAAATGACGTCACGTATTATAGTGACGTCATCTGGTTTGTTCTATGACGTTTCCATATTTGTAAAATGTGGTCAGTGACATTCGCGTTGATTGCAGTAAATGTTTCAAAACCGATGTTGTTGTTTCTTTATATTTGATAAAATATTCCATCCATTTTAGCTATAATAACGGTAACGCTATTTTTCAGGTCATTTTCATTTGCAGAAGCCCTCGGTCTTTTTAACAGTTAATGGAAGACCTCGGGCTTCTGCAAATGATAATGCCCTGAAAAATAGCATTACATTTTAATATTGCCGGTGCGAACCTTTTTATTCTAACTCTTATTTCGATCAAATCAAGATTTCGTTTGAAAACTTACAAAATACTCAACATATACTGCCCAGTCCACACTCTCACCTTTTTCGTTTTTACAGTATTTCATCAATTCCGGAACAAGATGATCAAAATCGCCTGGAAAAAAAGAGATTTAATGTACAAGAGACAAACGGTGACTGGTTAAACATACATTGTCAAATGGAATCGAAGCCTGGCTGGTTGGTTTGTCTGTTGTTTAACCCTCTGGATGCCATTTGGACATATATGTCCCTACACAAAACGCAGTTGCTGTGCCAGAGGGACATATATGTCCTTCTGAAACATCATGTTAAAAGAATTGAAATAAAATATTTTTGGATTATCCCAAGCCCATAGCAATTGCATCATCGCAAAAAGGAGTAAATTTCCAACACATCTGTGTCATTTTCACAACTCTACTGTCAATAAATAACGCATATGGAGTTAGTCAAATTCCCCTTGTTTACACTTTCGTTCAAATGTGCCGCCATTGAAATATTTTTTCATTTCGAACAAATTGCACCGAATGATTGAAAATCCACATGCGAAGGAATGTTTGAAACCTTCATAAATATTTTGGTTAAAAGATTGAAAATGGTCAAATATCTACGCATCTATGTATTAATTAGCTAATGAAACCAACTAAATGCCCAGTTTATCGATGGTGAATGGAGTGGGTTTTTTTTTTTCACAGTATTTGTTCAAGGCCTCGTTCATCACATTCATATCAAAGCGTATTCAAAAACATTCATACAGTTATACATACCTACTGACATCTGTTAAAAACAGTCTGTGTGAAAATGTGCCACTTCTCATATTCATACGTATACTTAGAAATTCCATTCATGCTTCCTAAACCTCAAATTCTGCAAAAACACAGAAAAGGTACCGCAACTTTTTAGTCGAAACTTAAAACAAAATGGCGACCGAAGTTGAAGGTCACTTAGCGGTACTTTTCATGAGAGAAAAAAAGTCGAAAGCATGTCTCCCAGAAGAAACGAAAACGCACATGGTAAACTTTGACACACCCTCTTGGGTCTGTGTTGTTCATGTTTTGTGACTGATCATATGTAAGTCACGTTTTCGTATGTTTAATGAGGCGAGCCAATTTATTACAAGACGTTGAAAAGTAGGTTGGTAGCAACGGCATATAGGATCTTATGCAGTGTCGAATATATTTATAATTTATTGGTTATATAAGTATATAAATAAGAACTATATGATGTTGAAATATGAACGTGTAAATGTCAGTTAAAATTACTTGAATACCGGTCCCCGATGAATCTATATATTTATTTTTAGTTCGTATGTCTAAATACAAATAGCTAGCTCTTTGACAGTAGAATTCATTACTAAATTATGAATAATCTTTCGTTTAATTTCAGTATGTAAATTTTGTATTCATGCGGTTTGTTATTGTTAAATACCTTATTATTATTGCAAGACTAATTTTTTTTATTTCACGAATACAAATGAAGCTGTCATCGACAGTTGGTTTCAATCATCCACCATAACGGGGTTGGGAAGAGCGGCAAATTTCAGATTGTTCGTCTGGAACGAAATACCGTGACCCGCGACCTTTGACATGCCACGTCACAGAGGTTACAGGTGCCCGAGTAAAACAAAATAAAGTTCGATGTTGAAATCACCAACAGTGTTAAATATGACATCCAATGTAAATATTTATACATTATATGCTTTAATCTTTATCTTCGTGCTTTGTTTATCGAATCAGCGCGATGTACACAAATCAAATATAAAAAAACGTTCGCCTCCCGCCGAGAGCATGAATATTCATAGGGATAAAAATAGCCCCATGTGACAGACGACAACATTGCGATCGAAGCTGTCAACCAAGAAGGAATGTCTGCGGTGGGAATTGGCGACGACGATGATTTGGGGGAGTCGGACTTCGAGTCGGACATATCCGTCGATTCTCTAGATTCCGACTCCGAGTCCGACTCCCAGGAAGAGATAAGCGGTAAGTAACATTAATTCATTTTCAGTAAATTGAGTAGGTGTACTGTCAGTGTCAAAGCAATGGCGGGAATAAGAATTTGTTATTTTTTTAGCAATTTTCAAAATTGTAGGCTAGATCTACTTGTGATAGTTGTGATGTTTAAAATGTTAAAAATATCTACCATACCATGATAGTCATAGTAGAAACAGCAAACTACCTTGTTTAGTATTTCATGAAATTGATTTGAAAGAAAGTCTCTCATGGTAGTGAAGTTTTAACGTCTACATGTGGCCTACACATGCTTTTGGTAAAGCTCAGTAATATTAATGGAAAAATGTCTTTGTTAAAAATTAAATTTATCTTGAAGGACACACTAGTTCACACTTTGGACATGAAGCCATATTTTTAAATGAGTATAGTGAGTCATTCCTAAAAAATCTAAAATGTCTAGGCCTAACTTATTTTGAAATTTTAAAAATAAATGAATATGTTTCATAATTTTAAATGTTAAATGTTATAAATATATCTAAATGATGTAGATTAACATTTACTATAACTTACTAAGGGGAAAGGGGAGTGGCATTGCACCAAGTGACTGTTGTCCTTGCGCCAATGGGTTGGGGGGTCAGCGCACTGAACAAATGTTCCCTCACCGGGCAGGTAGCCCGGAGACGCGGAAGCTATGGCCAATTTTTTTTTAAAATTTAGCATCATTGTAAAGCTTTTGATTTTAGTTCTCACCATGGAAATGTTTGCATCATGATTACACAATTGTTTCCCTGTGACTACTCAAGGAAGCCCTTCAGTTTTCATTGATACATTCATGTGGAGCACATGTATCCTAATCTTATCTTTATGTTGTAGTAATGAAAAATAAGTCTTTCAACATGTTTAATCTGTACCCAACTAAAAAGGTCACAGGTTATACATATTAATTACAAGCAAAATATAAGCCTTGACGGAAATAAAGTTGCCACATGAATATTGATACTGTGTTGTAAAATATTCACTAGATCTACAGGGTCTGAAACATTTCCTTCAATAAACTAAATATATGTCTATAGGTATATATATATATATATATATATATATATATATATATATATAAATATATATATATATATATATATATATATGTGATATATTTATATCTTTATTTAAATTTAAGATTGATAACAAACATAAAATACATTGGAGAAATGACAAACTTCCATGAAGCAATTTGCAAAAAGTATGTATCCAAGGGAGATATTATAGGACATAAACAAATCACATTATCTCCCCTTGATCACCAAGAAAACATGAGTCAGCAGTTGCTTAGTTCCAATTATGATAAGAATCATCCATGAAAATTTGCAAATTCAGCGATAGAAACTAACATTTTAGTCCACTAGTCCATATATTATAATGATGAGTATAACAAAACCCTATAAAATTGGCAAATGTCTACTAGTCCTTATGATACCTTAACTATTAGACTGTTTTGCAAATATATAATCAGGACAATGACATGGAAATTAATACCAGCTCACTTATCTGTAGACAAATTTCCAAATCTTCCCATTGTTTTAACAGTACAATGGAATTTTACCCTGTCTTGTAAAGTATTTTAGTTCCAACCCTTCATTTTTCGGTGTTAAGCATCACATAAAAAAATACTAAAGAGGCAAACAAATAAACAAAGCTAACCATGTCCTCACTATTGTGATTGGATTAATTTATCTGCAACCTCTTAATTCTTATGCTTTAATTTTCAACCATGTCATTCTTCAAAATTATTTGAAAAGCTTTTAAATTTCATGATATTTGAATTTTGATAATACAGTTTTACTCTGTCCAGGATATGGTCTGTGAAGTGGAATGATTCATACATGCTTTTTCCATGCTCCTATGTTATTTGAATGCATGGACACACTATACATATCTATCTTTTAACAAGGAATCCTTTCCCTTAGCACTTTTATATGTGATTGAAAAGGACATTATTAATAAGAAGCATTATTTCAAATTTCAGATCACGAGGAAAATAACCAAGAAGAGGCAGGGGCCATACCAATGGTCCGTGGCCCCTGGCTGCCCGTGCTGGACACGGACAGCTTTGACCTCGGCAACAGCATTGACTTTGCCGAGGAGTGCGGCCCTGTCAACCAAGGCCGGTTCTTGATCTTGTGAATGGATCATTCGCAAACTCTCATGGGTATGTTAGCTTTTTACTTTCTCCATTCTGATATATCATATGAAAAGTATTTGAACACCATTCATTATGGCACTTATTTCATGTTGCACTGATGTGAGGTTCTAATGAATTAATCACGGTAAATGACAATATGAAAATTACATATACCAAAAATTATTATCCCTCTGGATGCCGAGTTTTTTTTCTGACGCACATTTTCCAAAGATCGGAAAAGTGAAGGTTGTGCGAGAATTGCGCTCACGCGGCACTGGATCTACCTCTGGCTATAAAATTACGCAGAGGTGGAGAATATTAAATTTCCTATTTGATGGTGTAAAGTTAACTGCAAATAATGAACCGGTTTAAAAAAAATACACTTCTAAGTGTTGCCCGAGATTTTTTTCTGCCTTGAAAAACAGTAAATTTCTCCGCTTTTTATCGTACACCGATAAAAGTACTGTGCGACGATTTTTTTTATTTACATGCTTTACGGAATCTGTGAGCGAACAAAATACTGCTTGATATCTGAACGACATAACTATATACCAAATGGAGTTATATGCGTATGTATAACGACAAACATGAAATGCCAAAAATAGCTTCCCGTAAATGACAAAAACTGATTTTTCTCTATGACGTCCAAAGGCGACAGAGAGGTTACACACGTACAAAGAAAAAGGGGCATAACTCCGCTATGTTCAGCACTAATTTTATTGTAACTCAGGTCAATTGGTGAGAATTAGCTGTGGGTAAGGACAATATATTTTCGTGGTGTTTTGTTCACGAGGAACCAAACTATTCCAACACAAATATCGATAAAGAAACTGTATACGTTTAGTTGTAAAAAAAAACCCATAAGAAATGATGAAATCGTGCTTCATAAAAAAGAGGTAATAGAGAAATGGAGGGCCCTATCTAACCTATAACTTAGTCCTTAGATTCAAACATTCTCTTGGATGTGTAAGTGTAATTTGACTAATG